TAGCTAACTATCAGCTTGTAAACTCGCTCAATGTAATCGACGCTTAACCGACAATTTTTTCGAAAACATGCTATAATAATTATTAACGCGCGATGATAACAGTGCGATTACGTAGCTGGTCGGTCGCACACGGAGGCTTATCACCGCAGCCGACGAGAGCTGCGGATAATCATAGCACAAAAATTATGACATGAAAAAAATTCACAAAAAAAAACAAAACAATTTTGGCGCGAGATTCAAAAAATGCCTACAGCGCGAACATCACTCTTCAACTCAGATCGACGTAAATTCCACGATAAGCGCGCATTCGCATGGCAAAAACTACGAGCAGGTACTTTTATCGACAGCGATCGTACGAGCATTTGGTGAAAATAAAAGTTCGTCATTATGTCTTGTTTTATTAGATTCAGGTTCACAAAGTAATTTCATTACCGAAGAATTGGTGCTATGTTTAAAATTAAGAAGATCAAAAACTTATCATCAAATTAGTGGTATCGGAACAACAGTACAGCATGCACATTCGTACGTTATCGTTTAGGTGAAATCATAATTTAACGACTATAGTTTTACTTTAACCCTTAAATGTTCACTGCATGGAAAATGGTTTAAAAAATTTGAAAACTGCGTTTCATGTGCGCAATTATTTGACACAGTCCCGGGGGGGGGGGCATCGTCCCTCTCACCCACCATCAACCTTAAATATATTTTGAATACCACTTTTCAACTAAACAAATATTTAATTTCCAAATATAATATATTTTGATAGCAATACCAACATCCTATATGTTACAATAGAAAATAAAAATAAAATAATAATTAACATAGGTAATTATAGGCGATCAGGCAGTCTCACGAAACGAATGAAAAAATCATACATTTGGTTTTTGTTTTTATTTATTTTTACTCTTTAGTGCGGTCCACGGCCTTAGAAGATTAGTCTAAGGTCGTGGTGAAGGCATTTATTTTTTTCCGAAATGACGATATCGTCGGTCGCCAATATTAATAACAAACCGTACAATGTATAAAGTATAATACACTGAATTCACAGACATTACTATTTATATTTTTCCAAAAATGACGACGTTGTCGCTTATCATAACCACTATATATATGTGCAGTCATACAGTAAGGTTGTGCGTGTTCTCTTTCTGATTTGTTTATCGGTAATTATACGTTTATTATCATTATTTGTATATTATTATTATTATTATTATAATATGTTAATTGGCTTTTCGTTTTCGACTGCTTAATATTATGTCAACTAAAGTTCAAAATTGCCACATTTGCACTCATGCATTTGCTGATCTTGATTTACCTATTAATTGTGATGGCTGCAGTTTAATTTTTCACGCAAAGTGTTCGGGACTATCAGCGAGCGAAATCAAATGTCTATCTCTAAAAAATCGTAATTTAAAATTTTTCTGTGAATCTTGCAACAAAGGGTTGCGTGATATTCCTAAGTTGAAAGCTTTAATAAATCGTTTGCTAGTTGAAGTTAACGAACTTAAGAACTTAAAGAATAATAATAATAAAAATGAATTACAATGCTCCGAAGAGATTATTAATGAGGTGGCCGAACGAAATATTCGTGCATCTAATCTATTATTTTACAATATTCCAGAGTCTAACTCTGATAACATTAATGATAGAATGTCTCATGATTTTAATATTGTTAATAATATTATCGATTCAATTAATATTGGTGATAGCATTATTAGACCAACAAAATTAATACGCTTGGGCATTCGCGGACAGAATAAAACTCGACCAATTAAAGCAATTTTTAACTCACCTAATGATGCGTTTGAGATACTGAAATTAAAGAAAAAACTATTATCTCAAAATCCACCTTCCACTTATAGTATCAGTTCAGATCGTACACTTTACCAGAGAAATTATATGAAGAACTTACGCGAAGAACTTGAGACTCGTAGATTGGATAGTGAAGAAACTGATTTAATAATCAAATATGTAAGAGGCACTCCAAAGATAGTTTCCAGAAATGATCGTCTTAAACATCGTAATACAAATTTTTTATAGTAAATATGTTTTACCAAAATGTACGCGGTTTATTAACCAAAATCCCATTTTTACGTAACGCTTTATCAAATGTTAATTATGATTTTATTTGTCTAAGTGAAACTTGGTTGAACACAAATGTTTTTGATGTTGAACTTGGTTTTATCATATTAATTATAATATATATAGAAATGATCGTAATTTAAGTTTTGGAAAAACTAGGGGTGGGGGTGTATTAATTGCCATAAAAAAAAAAATAAGCTGTGAATTATTAACTGTTCCCATAATTGCTGAAATTGAGCAAATATATTTAAAAATTACATTTAATAATATAAAAATGATTTTAGGCTGTGTTTATATTCCGCCAGGTACATCCTCTGATGTTTATTCTAATCATTGTAATACAGTCGAGTCTATTTATTTTAAATTCCCTGAATACAATTTTGTTATAACTGGTGATTTTAACTTAAACACTTTCGACTGGTCAGTTGATCCAAACTCTCAAAATCATAGGTCTGGTAATATCTTATATAATACTTATATTAACTTTTTAAAGTTAAAACAATGTAATAGCATAATAAACTGTATTGGTCGAACCCTCGATTGTATAATGCTTAGTGATCAAGCCGAACTCACTTCTATTTACTTGTCTGATACACTTATTCCTTCAATTGATAAATATCATCCTCCAATTGAATTTCTAATTAAATTTGAAAAATCATTGTTTAGTGAGCATTTAGAGTCTCCTTATATTTTTAATTTTAAGAAATGTAAATTTAATGAAATTACGCAATTTCTTTCTAATATTGATTTTGATCTGAATCTTGATAATAATTTGTCTCTAGATGCTATAATTAATAAATTTCACGAAATTATTTACCACTCATTCAATCTGTTTGTACCGAAAATTAAAATCTATAATAATTACTCCATTGTTTGTCAAATGGAGAACTCCGAAACCTAATAATAGAAAAGAAAGCTGCCCATAAAAAGTATAAACTTTTTCCTTCTCCTGAAAACTATATTAAATTTTCTGAGCTTAGGAAAAAAGTAAAATTATTAAATTTAAATTGTCACACTCGATACATTGCAGATATTGAAAATAGTATTTCATTAAATATTAAACCATTTTGGAATTATATAAATTCTCTCTTTAGAAATCGAAAAACAATATTCCTGACTGTATTAAATTTAATAGTAAAGCATCTAAAAATCTTTCTGAAACGGTTAATCTATTTGCTGATTACTTTTCTAGTGTCAACTTTTCTAGTTCATCTTTTAATTGTATGAAAATAGTTTATATGTTACTACTGATAATTACTTAATATTATGTCATTCACTTCTACTGTATTTTCAAAAGGGTTTATCCCGTTTATTATAAATAAATAAATAAAAAATATAATCTTTAATTGTAAAAATAGTTTTGATATTATAAACCGTAAATTCATTTTCCCATTGACGTAAATTGAAATTCACATAAAAATTATTTTGGACATCAATTAAGATGAACATGAACATGCCGTCCCGTCGTTCCGGTGAAAAAATATAGTTGGGGTACGCAAAAAAAAAATAGAGGAGCTCCGTCCCCCTGCGCACCACCCCAATTTGAGCACTGTCCTAGACAAATGTTTAAAATCTTTTATTGGAATAGAAATGTTGTTATAAAATACATAAAAATTGTTAACAATAAATATTTATGTAAAAAAATAATAAAATTATAGATATGTATTAACAGATATACATAATAAACTAGATAGCTAACTTGCCTATGTAATCCGTGTATTTCATTGAGGCCAACAGTCGCCATTTTAAATGAGGCCGGAATACCTTGTCAGTTTCATATATATTGATAACATAATTTTACAATAATACCATAGACATTTTAATATGTCTATGAATAATACAGATACACCATGCACGATACACATTTTACAGTCATTACTGGGATGCGCAAAGTTTATCATATGACGAATCAATTTGAGTTTTTAAATACTTTTCATTATACAAAATTTTTAGAACTTCATCTGATTGGAATTCAATTATTTTAATTTTAAGATTTGCTTGGTTGCATTTGCTAACTTCTACTGCTTCGTTAATCAATTCACCGTCAGGCTGCAAAGTAAAACTTCTGTTCAATAGTTGCAGTGACGGCGCTAGGGGGGGGGGCATTCCGGGCATTTTCCCGGGGCCCCGAGGTTGGTGGGGCCCCGGGATGTATACTGCTTAAAAAGAAACACCAACAATAAAAAAAATTAATTTTTTTTACAAAACAATCAAAACTAAATTTTTTTTTTTTTTTCATATGGCGTAGGTTTATTGGTGAAAAGCAAAATTAAATAAACATAAAATAAAACTAAATAAACATTAAATTAGCAAAGTAACGAGGACTAGAGTAGATAGATTTACAATAAGCTAATAAATAAATTTAACAATAACAAAGATAATAATAATAAGAGCTCATAATATATTTATAGTCGAACATTGGTCTTAGACAGCCAGTCCATTGCTTCCTCATCGCCCTTGTGAAGTCCCTCTATTCCTCCCTTGTATCTAGTTTGAGGACATTCCTCCACAATGTGTTTGATGGATTGTATTTGCCCGCAGTCGCATAAGGAAGAGTTTTTTAACTTCCACTTGTGTAGAAGGTAGTTACAATTACCCTGCTCCGTTCGTATCCTGTTTAGATTGGTCCATAAGGCTCTCGGGCCGTCAAATCCTGGGACTCTTTGGGTTGGGTCGCTTATCAGATGTCTATTTTTTGCATTACCTTTTTCCCAGTGTTGTTTCCACATATCCTCCATGCTGTCACAACTATTTTCTATTGACCAGATTGGGTTTCTTGATCTTAATCTTTTAGATGGTGCGTTATTTATGTCGTTATATACAGGGAGATTCACTAATTTATTGATTTTCTGTAATAGTTTGACAGATGAGAGATGCCTTCGAATCGCCGGGGGAGCTACGTTCGAAAGGACTGGAAGCCACTGTAGGTTGGTAGCCCGGACACAGCCTGTGATGATTCGCATAGTATTATTCAACTGGGTGTCAACCTTTTTTGTATGTACACTTCTCTCCCAAGCGGGGGCGCAATATTCCGCGACACTGTATACCAAGGCTAGGGCCGATATGCGTAGTACATTTGCTCGGCAGCCCCAGCTTGTTCCGGCAAGCTTACTAATAATATTATTCCTTGTTTTCAGTTTATTTTTTACATCTTCGAGGTGTTGGTTGTAGGTTAATGTTCTGTCCAGTTTGATCCCAAGATATTTTGAAGCATCGTCATTCATTAGTTTGGTTCCCTGTTAGCATCTCTGTTGCTCAAGTGGAACGCTATGGATGTGGTTTTATTGGGGTTAAGAGTGAAGAACCAGGATTTGAAGTATTTCTGTACTTAACTATTTCTGTACTAACTAAAATATAATAAATAATAATTAGCTTGAGAACCCATGGCTTCCGTGAGTGGTATGGTACACGGGTATGGTGGTCAGGGAAATTTTCGTGTCATCGGCTATAATAGGTATACTATATTGTGTACATTGACGTTTAAAAATAGAAACATAAACCCGAAATTGTCGTGATGGTTATCTATCATGATATTATTGTTATTGCTGATATATTATATTTTCCGTGTTGTGCATTAAAACTATGCTCGTGAATCGTGTGGTAGTGCATAGTACTTATGTTTGCAGTCTGCATTCTGCTGTCAATAATAGTTAAATTGAATATTGATCGACGTGTATGAGATAACAAAAGAGAAAAAATCGAAAAGTTCTTCAAGCATTTATGAGGTACCTAATTATTATATTATTTTGTTTTGATTAATTACTATTTGAAGGGTGGGCGTGAATAAGGTTGCAAATATGTTGCAATTCATAAATTGTACAGGAACGACTAAAAACGAAAAATGTATGTACACATTTATTTAAATATTATCTGGAACGCATGTAGCACGTTATTACATATTGTACCATTTTTTTTATAACTTGACCGTTATTTTATTATTTTGTGAACTAATTCATTTATGAATGAAAGTTAAAATTATTTCAAATGTAATTTGCACAATCGCGATTTCTGCACGTCACGCGTCTTGTCAACTTACTGAGAACAGTGAAGTTTGTACACAGTGATTGTGTATGATAAAAATATTTTAGGAATTTTACGATTTTTAAAATAGATCGATGTTGCTTCATAGCATCACCACGGGATTCTGTAAAAACATGAAATCGGAAAAAGTGTTACATAGCTCGTTATTCCCGCCCACCGTGCATTTATTGAAAAATATTTATATTATTGGCTTGATATAATAGGTACTATAAAATCAATGATTGATTATCATTCTTCATTACAATGTTTTCTATTAAGGTTGGTATATGACTTACCGAACCTACTTGCAATTTAGATGGGATTTTTAATTTTCTTTTTTCATAAGAATTAATGAATCTATTTTTATATACTTGGAAATAACAATTAAACAAAAAAAGTAAATATAATTTTTTTAATTAATGAATAATGATATAATGAAGTAATAATCATTTAGTTATTTATAGGATAACAATTTTAATTTCCAAATTATGTTTTAGATTTTTAATAATCTTCAAGTGATTAATACCTAAGTACTTATATTCAATTTTATCAATTTTGAATCACTAATACATAATGGCTAGCAAAGATAAGTAAAGAAAATATTTTCTGGTAATCTTAAAAGAGCCAAAAAACAAAAAAAAGATGAATTTTTGAACACACAGCGTGGATCTTTAAATAAATATTTTGACTCATCAAATACTCCTATAGTTGATATAAATGATGATGAGGTTAGTATGTTAGTGCTACTATAAATACTAGATATAGGTGCCTACTAAATTTAAGTATTTTGTGTACATAATGTATACACATAAGCATAACTAATATAACAATTTAAATAATTCATTATTAAAAGAGAATTATTTTGTTACAATAAAATTATTGAATCATTAAAAAAGATACATACCAAATTAAGCTATTTGTTAAAAAAACATTAGAATACATTTAACATACATTTAACTTATTTTTAAATACTATAATGTGTATAAAGATGTAAAAAAAAATATAAGCTCACTCTCAATATTTAGAAGTATATATTAGCATTTGTCTAAGTAATGATAATTATCAAATAAAAAATAATTACATATAAGTATTTTCATTAAATTATTATAGATCACAAAAAATCTTGAAATGCAAATCAACTCTACTAGTACAAGTTCAGACAATAATAAACCACTTACTTTCTAAGTTTCAAGTATAGAAGAAGAAAATTACTCTGTTTCAACAAATCATGATGGTCAAAACGTCGAAGTTTATGATTTGAGTGATCTTTCTACATGGCCTAAGGTATTAACTCATATTATGAAATATGAAATTGTTAAGTTGGGTCCTATGCAAATAAAAAACTTTGATTTTCCACCTAATGAAGAATATCCAAAAAGAAGTTTCAGTGTTAATTATTACTACCGTAAATTGCCCAATAATGAAGTATTTGATCGTCAATGGCTAGTGTACTCTAAGACTAAAAATTGTGTCAATTGTTTTGCTGGTAAGCTTTTTAGTAAAGAAATTATTGATGACAATAATTATGATTGCCGTTTAGCAAACAGTGGTTTTAATGATTGGAAACACCTCTCGGAAACATTGAAGTCGCATGAAAGATCTATAATACATTATAAATCTATACAATGCTGGAATGAGTTAAAATTAAGGATATCATCTGATACAACTATCAATAAAACAAATTTGGCTTTAATGGAGAAAGAAAAAATGCATTGGAGGGATGTTCTTAAACGAATAGTATCTGTTATTCATTACTTAGCAAAAAATAATAATGCCTTTAGAGGACAATCAGATGTATTATTTACAAAGAACAATGGGAATTTTTTAGGATCAATTGAAATGTTAAGCAATTTCGATCCCGTCATTATAGAACATGTTAAAAGAATTACAAATTCTGAAACACATGTGCATTATTTAGGTCATGAAATACAGAATGAATTTATTAGTTTAATGTCAAATAATATCAGAAGAAAAATTGTTGATTTTATGAAAAAAAGCTAAATATTACACAGTAATCATGGACTGCACACCTGATATTAGCCACAATGAACAATTGTTACTCATGATTCGAGTAGTAAATATGTATGATGATGATCAGTCAAAATCTCCTGATATTGAAGAGTACTTTTTGGATTTTATTCCAGTTTTCACAACTACAGGATTAAATCTTTCTAATATTCTTTTAGAAAATTTAAACAAGATGGGTATTAATATTATGGATTGCAGAGGTCAAGCCTATGATAATGGTTCAAATATGGTCGGGAAATATCAAGGAGTTCAAACTAGAATTATTAATCAAAATCCTAGAGCATTTTTCACGCCTTGTGTTTCACACAACTTGAATTTGGTTCTTAGAGATTCTGTGAAAAATTCAGTTCAGGCTTCGACATTTTTTGGAACTATTCAACGTGTCTATACAATATTTTCTGCTTCAACAAGTCGATGGGATATTTTTAAAAAGCATTGTGAATTATTAACAGTAAAAAAGTGGTCAGAGACAAGGTGGGAGAGCCGTGTAAATAGTGTGAAAGCCCTTCGTTATCAACTTCCAAATATCATAGAAGCTTTGGAAGAAGTATCTAGAGAAGCAAGTGATACTATGTCAAAGAGTGAAGCTCAATCGTTAGCTAATGAAATTAGTACATTTGAATTTGTTCTCAGTTTGGTGATATGGTATAGTATTTTAATAGAAGTGAATGTTGTTAGCAAAATTTTACAAGGTAGAAATATTGATATAGACATTTCTAATAAAATGTTGGAAAGTCTTTTAATTTTTTTAAGATCGTTTAAACAAACAGGATTTGAAAACTCTATAGTAACAGCAAAAGAAATTTGTGAAGAAAATGACATTGAAGCTAATTTTAAATCATTTCGTTTAAGAAAAAAAAAGAAAATGTTCAATTATGAAGTAGAATATGAAAGAAGATATGATGTTGAAACAATATTTTGACAAGAGTATTTTTTTATATTGTTGATCAAGCAATAAGCTCAATGGAAACCCGCTTTAAACAACTTGAATCTTATAAAGATGACTTTGGGTTTTTATTTCGAATTAGGAAATTAACAAAAATGGCAGATTCAGATTTATTAAAACATTGTATGGACCTTCAAAACCGTTTGACGGATAGAGACTCAAAAGATATTGATGCTTTAGATTTATATGCAGAATTATTAATCTTCAGATCTCTTGTCTATGAGAATCAAACTCTTCTTGAAGCACTTTCTATAGTTAAAAATTCCAATGGTTCATTTCCGAATATTAGTGTTGCTCTTCGGATACTTTTAACCATTCCAGTCACTTCAGCCAGCGCAGAGAGAAGTTTTTCTAAGTTAAAAATTATAAAAAATTATCTTCGCAATAGGATCAGCCAAGAACAGCTTACCGGGTTGTCTATAATATCAATTGAAAAGGCAATATCAGATAAAATTAATTATGATGATATTATAAATGAATTTGCTGGCAAAAAAGCAAGAAAAAAATTATTTTAATTACTTTTAATGTACATTTAAATTTATGAAATTCATTAATATATTTTATATTTATTCTTTATATTTTTCATTTTAGGTTTTTAAACGTTTTATATCTCTGTTGTGGTTTTGTCCCTATCCATATTCCACAATTTCTACCATGGTAGGTTCATAATTACGGGATAGTTATTAATACTTAGTAAAGTTAGTAAAAATACCAACATTTGAGACTAATAAGCGAGCTAATAAGTTACTAGAAAAAAAAAAGGTTTGGTAAAAGCTATGGTAAAAATCTAATGTAATATTTATTTAATTTATACAATATATATTTAATCATTTTTATTATTATTTGAGTATTTAATTTTATACAAATGATTTTTTTTTATTACCTATAGTTTAAAAAACATTTAAGTAACTTGTAAATTTAATATGCTCGTTATGTAAGTTTTTCCTAATCAGATAGTCTATGGATAACAAATTATTTTAATATTTACAGATGTACTATAGATTTTTTTTCACTACTTAACAAAAGTAATTCATATATAAATAAGCTGCATAAAAAAAAGTATAAATAATTGTGTATCATCGTATAGTATAATTATTAAGTCCCCCCCAAAAAAGTTGCCCGGGGCCCCAAAATATGTAGCGCCGTCACTGAATAGTTGTACAACGTTTTGGATTTTTCTGAAATCTGCAAAGCGTCTTTCGAATTCAAACTTTAAACTTCCCATAAACTTTGAAAAATGTCTGATATCAATCCCGTCTTTTTCATCAAAATCTTCTGCAAGTTGGGAAAATGTAAACGTTCATTACCAATATCTTGTAAAGAAAAAGTCAATTTTTCTACAAAAACAATTTACTTCTGAAACTAAATGGCAAATTAGTTTCTGTTTATCTAAAAGTTTAAAGTTGAAAGAATTTATGTGTTGGAATATATTTGTCAAAAACGCAATTTCTGCTACGTTACTGTTATCATTGATAAATTTGTGAAAATCTTTGGCAGTCAAATGTGTACTTTGAATTAAAAATTCAATTTCATTCAGTAATTTAAAAAACCTTAGCATAACATTTCCTTTGCTCAGCCATCTCGCATTATTATGAAATAGTAAATCATCAAACTGAGTATCATTTTCTTGAAGTGCCTTAAATAGTCAGTGCTGGAGTGAAGATTTTAAACGTATAAAATTAACAATAATCATTACTGTTCTCATCATTTTTTCCAAACACGGATCCAGTTTGCAGCAAAGGACGCTTTGATGAATGATAGAATGACGCTTTGATACAATGGTAAGATAAAATATCAGAGTTGCATTTAGGGTCATTTCTTAATCTATGAACAAAGCCTTGATGAACGTCAATCATCTCTGGTGTACCATCGGTTGTAACAGAGATAATTTTTTTCAAATTTAAATTTTCTGTTTCAAAATACAATACTACAGCATTGTACAAATCATTTCCTTTACTAGTCCTTGATAACGGCAAGTGTTAATAACATTCGTAAAATTTCCCGCTGATATTGTTCAGTTTATCTCACGCGAATTATAAACTGAGATGTATCTGTGATATCACAAGATTCATCTAAGGCTAAAGAATAAAAATCAGCTGTAGATAGATCTTGTTTCAACTGATTGTGATTATCTTTGGCCAGTACTTCGGTATTTCTCGTATTAGTAGATGCTGATATCGGGATATGACGAAAAGCTTCAACAATATCTTTTTTATTTTCAAACGGTAGACTTACAGATTGAAGCATGCATTTTTTAGCAATGTCAGCATCGGTAAATGGCTTCATAAGTTTACCGAGTGTCCACGAAATTTGTAATGAAGCCTGAGCACATTTCTAATGGTTAGCCATTGCGTGTTTCAAAATTTTAGTTGCCGATTCATATTTCTTATGTAGATCTTCAATTTTTGACTTACGAAGTTCAGTACCCCCCAATGGGTATTTTTCGACAAATGACTTGTGTGCTGTCTCAATGACGTTTAATATTAAACACTTTTATAACAGCTACTGTTTGATGACAAATTAAACAAACCGGTAAGGCACCTACTCTACCGGGTAAAATAAAACAATATAAGTTCATCCATTCAGGACAAAACTGTAAGTTTTCATTCTCGACTTTTCTTTTTTTTCTCTCCATATTTAAATGAAAACAAAGAAATAAAACAAATAAACAAAACGGACGAAAAAAAATTACGTCGCAACGCACACGACCGTCTCACCGATAATTGACGGACTGACGTCTGGATATTGGTATCTGCTCTATCTACATACTTGTGCGTGTCGTATGATAGTAAATATTATAATATGCATTTTTTGTTAACAATATACATTTTTTTTATAAATACGGTACGGGCTTGGGTGGGGGCTGTGGCCCCTAGGGCCCCCTGGAGCTGCCCCTATATATACATAATATGATTGTACATGGTAAATGTGGCATGACTTTGGGTTCCATTGTATTCACCTTTTATATTAGAACCGTTATCATAGTCTTGTCCGCGGCAGTCAGTAAGTAGAATGTTATATTTTTTTAAAGTTTCGCGAATCAAATCTGCAATGGATTCAACTGTTTTTTTATTGCAGTCAACAAAAGCTAAAAACCGTTCTTTAATATCATACATTTTTTCTATGACATCATAATGAAGGTAACGCAAAATAAATGTAGTTTGTTCAACATGAACTGAATCAGGTGTAGTGTAGGTGTGATGGTGAATAGATTTGTAAAAATTTTATTAAATAATAAATATCACTCTTTATTTAATATAAATAACTAATTTTAATAATAAATAAAATTACACGACAGACAGCTGTTTAGATATTTGATCCGACTCTGACATAAAATATATTTGTAAAAATTTAGCATTATTTCCAATTTCGGGTAATAAACTACCTATTAAATGATGCACTTGACCCTGAATTTTAAAAGAGGGCATGAAGTTCCCTTCAGTTATTTCGTTTGCTCCAAACGATGTCATTTGAAACAAAGTATTATACCGTCTAGAATTATCAAAGAAATGTTTTGATAGAGAGTAAGAATTATCAATTAAACTTTTAATTAGTCTGGAAGATCCTCAAATTGGTATAAAACAACTTTACCGTCAGCACAGCAAAGTCCATGGGTTTCATCTTTCCATTTCTTTGCATGGCACTAAGGACATAATATAGTCATTCGTCCAATTGAAGCGCTTTAATATTTAAATAATCAATCTCGGATTGATAATTAAACGAAGATTTCATACTCAAAGCGTCACGTTGCTCCTATGCAAGTGTTTGAGAACGTTCTGGTGTGTTATTTTGTTGCCTTCTGTTATACATTCGAGTTGCATTGGCAGTTCTTCTGCCAATGCGTGCTCTTTGCGCTCTCGGCATGATAATGAATTGGCCACACGATAAGTTGTTAAAAAATTAATGAAAAATGTTATCGAAGCCATAATTTTAAATGGCAAATTCCGAGGTGGAAATATATTATTACCGCGAATCTCTATTATACCCACAGATGTACCAATACAATTAAAAACGCCTTAAATTTCCAATTAGATTGGCATTTGCAATGACTATCAATAAGTTTCAAAGCCAAACAATGTATGTAGCTTAAATTTGAGCACATCATATTTTTCACACGGATAATTATACGTGGTGTGCTCTCGAGCCATCCAGTTTGTGTTGGTGAAAGATGGGATAACAAAAAATATTGTACACTCTGTTGCATTAAGGGATAGATATTGTTTTTTACTAATATTGTCATAATTAGCAATATATATAATTTTAATGAATCAATTTTAATAAATTATTAAAAAAATAAATGTTTGATGTTTTATCATTTTTATATTTCGTCACCATTCGTAGCACTCCATATCTCTTCCTTATATCCTTATCCTTACCCACATTCTTACATGCCTATATTTAATTAGTTATTTTTTTCTAGCAAAATATTCTCTAGAAATAATTTATATGACAAAACTACGTTTGTCGAGTCAGCTAGTATAATATAATTATTAATAGTAAAATGATAACTGAAAACATGTAGATAACTATTTATAAATTATTAACATTTTTTATTAATATAAATAATGTATAAACAAATAAATAATAAAATAAATAAAAATAAATATTTTACTTACATCACATACTTAAACAATCTTATTCTATTTGTTCTGAATAAGACATCATGTTTACTTATAGATAATAAGTTAGTTAATAGTAAAATAAGTTTTGACTCAATGATACCTACAGGTTTTAACACTGAATATTTTTACGAGCTTTCTGTAGTGATCGTTGTGCAGGATACTACTATGGGTATCGCATTAATTATTTTACGACCTAGCACGTTCATTGTTATCTTGAAACGTAAGGGTGAGAGAGATAGGTATTTTCAATAATTGAACACTTATAAAAATTTACCACAAGAAAAAAAACAAACAGTTAAAAAAAAAAATAAAGAACAGTTTTTTCTAGGTAAAGAATTATATACTCGCAGCGATGTAGCTGTAACAATGTCCAGGACGAGTAATAATTTATTTAAAAAGGAAAATGACCAGTTTACTTCTG